TGAAGGGGCCCAGGGACACGCAAATCAATGGACATAAATCCAAATATTCCCGATATGTCCCGTATTTCCTGGATGTTCGTCTTTTCCCCCACTTCCCAGATCTTCCATACTTTCCATGGAAACGACGATGATTTGTGCCTGTGATTTTGTCCCCTCCCGAATCCTCCCGCACCTGCGCCCGCTTCGTCGACGAGAGCCCCAGACGGATGGTGTACCTCAGCCACTGCAGGACCGCCCGGAACCTCTCGAGCGACAGCGCGCCCGTGTGGACGAGCAGCGCCGCGTGGGACATCAGAGACGGCAGAAGAACCAAAGCGGCATGACCACAAACTTCAAGTCGGGCCTGTCCTCCTACAGGGGATTTTGGACGAAAGATAAAAAATGGTCACCAACTACCCCCGAGATGCTCAAAAATGGTCCAAACATCGTCCCCAGACTGTTTTTTTACTATTCTTGAATGTTCCTCCTGTGGAGGGACAGGCCCGACTTAAACAGAAACGGCACGACCACAAAAACTTTCTGGGAGGCCTGGAAATGGGCACCAACACCAAGACACGGGGCTGCCTCCACGGGGTGGAGACGATCCTTGAACTCGGTGCTGGAGGTAATATTTCGGTAGCCAGAATATGACCACCATCACCGATATCGAGATTTTCCTCCCTCGGTGTAGGAACGCCGCCGATCTTGGTGTTGGTGTCAACCTCTAGGCCTGCGACTTTCGGCCGCCCTCGCGGCCTGGCTCCGCCCATCGGGCATCGAGGGCCTCGGGGGTCGAGGGGCACGAGGCTCGAGCTCCGGAGCTCCACCCCTCGCGGGCCTCGAGGGCCGCGGGGGGGGGCCCGGGGGGTCGACGATCGAGGCTCCAGGATCCGCCGATGGAGGATCGAGGGTCGGGGATCGAGGGGGGGCGCCCTGGATCGGCGCTGGAGAGCCCCCTCCCCTGCCGCGCGGAGCGCACCCAGGGGCGGCACCGAGGGCGCCACCAGGGGGTCCCAGCGCCAGTCCACGAAATCCGCGCGGGCGACCGAAAGCGCATCTCGCCATCGCTCGGACGCCAACTCCCCGTGCACCTTTCGGTCTCTCGCATGCGTCTACTGCCCGATGAGCCAGGATGCTCCTCGATGGCCCGCGCCGACAGAAAATGCACACGTCCGAGCGATGCCGAGTCATTCGGAGGAGGACAGCCACGCAAGTCCACCACGCTCCCCGCTCCCGCCCCCGCCTAAGAAGGGAGGACAACAGGACAGAGCACGAAGGGGGGAGGCAGGAGGAGCGAGGTGTACCTGCGTTGCTGATCAATCCTGTGTGCTGGACCAGAGAACAAAAGACACCGCGCCACCTACCGCCCCACGGGCCCTGGCACACACCATGGATTCCCCGGCGTGGGCTTCCGCGCGGTATGCGCCACGCGGCGCCCGATGGGCCGCGGCGCAGCGTGGGGGGCCGCTGGCGGGGTGGTGCCGCCCGTCTTCTGGTCGAAACGTCCGTGTGGTCATGCCGCTAACGGTCCTTCGGGATAGGACCAGGCCGCAGCACACGATGGCATCGCGGGCGGAGGGCATGCCGCGCGTCGGGCCCGGGCACGGCCGGGGCTCGTGGGGCTGCGACCCGAGGGCCTCGGCGCCCACGCCGCAGGCGGGCTCCGCCGGGGGGGGGCTCGGGCCGGGAGGGGGAGGCCTGCGGCAGAGGGGGGGCCACGGGGGGGGGCGGGGCGGGAGCGGCGGCGGCACGGGGATCCTCTCCGCGGCGGGGAGAGGGCGAGGGGGGGAGGGGGGAGGAGGAGCAGGAGCAGCAAGGGGGAGCACGAGCGCGAGAGGGAGGAGAGGGAGGAGGAGGGGGAGGAGAGAGGATAGGGGAGACCGAGGCGAGGCAGAGGGAGGAATAGCAGGAGGACCTGGAGGAGGAGAAAAAGCACGAGGGCGCGGAGGACGAGGAAGACGAGGACACGGAGAAGAAGCATAACGGAACGGATAACAAGGAAGATGCGGCAGAGTCCAGGGAGTGGAGGCATTGCAAGCGGCACCACAGAAGAAGGGAGGAGTGAGACGAGATGATTAGGAGTAGAAGGAAAAAGGGAGGGTTGGGGGAGGATTGGGGGAGGGTGAAGTAGCAGGAGGAAGAGGAAGGGGAGGAGGAGAATGAGGAGGAGGAGAAGAGGGATAAGAAAGAGCAGGAGGTAGCGGCTGGACGAGGAATAGGCTCAAAAAGAGAAGCAACTGTGGAAACAACATCTGCCACCATGCCTCTGAGGACGTGCTAGAATGTTCGTCAATCGCTGGTGGATTTCAACGCGCGCCGACACATTGCCTGGAGACAGAACGGACCTGAGGGCCTCCTGGAAGCCTCTTGGGAGCCTCAAGGAGCTGTTTTGGGGCCACCTTGAAAGCTCCAGGACGGCCCGGAGGCCATCCGGGGCCGTCTTGGCAGGCTCAAGGGCCGTCTCGAAGCCATCATCGGCCGTCTCGGAGCCGTCTGGAGGGGTTTTGGCAGGGCTGAACCTAAACGGTGTCGTTCGTGATCGTTTTGCTTTCGTTGTCCCTCATCTTGTCTTCGATCCGCCTCTGCCGCAAAAGGAAAAATCGAAACGAAAACGGCCCACGAAATCGCCAAAACACCGATTAGGTCCAGCCCTGGGTCTTGGGGACCCCAGTCGGCCGTCTTGGGTCTCTCTGGGGCTCCTCGAGCGCCACGTGCGGGCCATCCCGAGGCCTTCGAGGGCCGCCCGGATGCCATCTTCGGCCGTCTCGGAGCCAGCTCGAAAAGGATCTTGGGGGCACCAGTCACAGGCGTAGAGGCGGCACCTCGAAGCACCAGTCAGTTCCCCCAGGCTGGCCAAAAATTTCGGGCTCCTGGGGGCCTCTTGGAAGTCTCGTAGGAACCTCTTGGGGGCCTCTCGGGACCCTCCTGGGGGCCCCCTGGGGCCCTCCTACACACACACACACACACCTACACACCTGGGGTGCTTTTTCCCAACCATCCTGTGGTGTTGGGTCCTCGTTTTGAAGAGACGGTGCCCCACGTTCTCCTTCCTTCCTTCCTTCCTTCCTTCCTTCCTTCCTCCCGCTGCCTCCTCCCCCCTCCCATCATCATCATCATCAACACCCATTTCGGCACACCCCTCACACGTTTCGTGGCTCCATAGGGAGCTCCACCGAAGGCCCCAGTGCCCGCGGCCGCATGCGTCCCCCACACCCATTTCGGCACACCCCTCACACGTTTCGTGGCTCCATAGGGAGCTCCACCGAAGGCCCCAGTGCCCGCGGCCGCATGCGTCCCCCACACCCATTTCGGCACACCCCTCACACGTTTCGTGGCTCCATAGGGAGCTCCACCGAAGGCCCCAGTGCCCGCGGCCCGCATGCGTCCCCACACCATTTCGGCACACCCCTCATACGTTTCGTGCCATAGGGAACTCCACCGAAGGCCCCAGTGCCCGCGGCCGCATGCGTCCCCCACACCCATTTCGGCACACCCCTCACACGTTTCGTGGCTCCATAGGGAGCTCCACCGAAGGCCCCAGTGCCCGCGCCGCATGCGTCCCCCAACCCATTTCGGCACACCCCTCACACGTTTCGTGGCTCCATAGGGAGCTCCACCGAAGGCCCCAGTGCCCGCGCCGCATGCGTCCCCACACCCATTTCGGCACACCCTCACACGTTTCGTGGCTCCATAGGGAGCTCCACCGAAGGCCCCAGTGCCCGCGGCCGCATGCGTCCCCACACCCATTTCGGCACACCCCTCACACGCTTTCGTGGCTCCATAGGGAGCTCCACCGAAGGCCCCAGTGCCCGCGGCCGCATGCGTCACCCACACCCATTTCGGCACACCCCTCACACGTTTCGTGGCTCCATAGGGAGCTCCACCGAAGGCCCCAGTGCCCGCGGCCGCATGCGTCCCCCACACCCATTTCGGCACACCCCTCACACGTTTCGTGGCTCCATAGGGAGCTCCACCGAAGGCCCCAGTGCCCGCGGCCGCATGCGTCCCCCACACCCATTTCGGCACACCCCTCACACGTTTCGTGGCTCCATAGGGAGCTCCACCGAAGGCCCCAGTGCCCGCGGCCGCATGCGTCCCCCACACCCATTTCGGCACACCCCTCACACGTTTCGTGGCTCCATAGGGAGCTCCACCGAAGGCCCCAGTGCCCGCGGCCGCATGCGTCCCCCACACCCATTTCGGCACACCCCTCACACGTTTCGTGGCTCCATAGGGAGCTCCACCGAAGGCCCCAGTGCCCGCGGCCGCATGCGTCCCCCACACCCATTTCGGCACACCCCTCACACGTTTCGTGGCTCCATAGGGAGCTCCACCGAAGGCCCCAGTGCCCGCGGCCGCATGCGTCACCCACACCCATTTCGGCACACCCCTCACACGTTTCGTGGCTCCATAGGGAGCTCCACCGAAGGCCTCAGTGCCGCCGCCCGCATGCGTCACCCCCACCCATTTCGGCACACCCCCCGCATTTCTCGCACGGCAGGGTCATCACCACGGTGGCGTGCCAGGGGCGCACCATGCGCGAAGGCGACGGGGCGGGGGAACGGCGCTCCGGGGGCGGCCAGACCTCCGGGGCGCGAGCAGTCCGCGGCCAGACCATCTCTCGGTCCTGTGGACTCTCGCCCTGGGCCGTCGGCTGCCCGGCGCGCTGCCCCCTCGGTCGACGTCGCCCAGGCGTGATCCTGGATTGCGGCCGCCACGAGGTAGGGAACGGCAAGAAGGAGGACGACGACTGGTGGCTGGAGCTCTACGCGCTGCTCTCGCGCGCCACGCGCCACGAGGACCTCCTGCTCATGCGGGCGCCGCGCATCGAGTTCTTCCTGGCAGGGCCGCCGCAGGGCTTGCGGAAGCAGCTGGAGCAGTTTGCGGCGCGCACGAAGCGGTGCAGGAGGGAAGCGACGGCCCTCGCCAGGGAGCTCGGCTTCACCGAGTTCATCCGCGAGGCCTGACCTGAGGAGCGTCTCCCCCGAGCCGCGCCTTCTCTCGACTGCCCGACTAATTGT